TATTTCTTACCGGTGACTGACTTTATTAAACAGGATAAGTGCTCAAAAAAAAAAAAAATAATAATAATTATGCAATGCATGCACAATATGAGAAGAGGCAACTCACCTTTTACATGCATGCACGAAAAGTTACATTTACTAAAAAGGCTTTGTAGTGCTATTTGGAACAAATAGCTACTACATATGTCGAGTAAACACCAATTTCTAACACTCAAGCCACCTCGTTAAGCTTTTGAAAGCAAGATCACAGGTCATAATGAGGTTAACGTGCATCCATCTGACAATATGACCCACTGCAGCACATCAAGTCATTCGCATTGCTGAGTCTTTTAGTAGGTGAATAATTGGCTGATCCGTACATCTGTAGTCTTGCATGAATCATTGATGCTCACACACGATCAGTTTGAAATCCCCAAGCTCTCAGTGGCCCGTGGCTCTTCTCCTTCTTCTTAAAGGTGACTCTCAAAATAAAAACCTTTGTTCGAAATGCATGCACTGCAATTCCTGGAGAAAAGTATCTATGCTCCTTAATATGCAGAGAAGACTCCAACTTTATTTTCAAACATTTCGTAGTTGCATATTCTCTCGGTGGGATACTCGTATATGGTGAACAAATTACACTCTGTAAACTGCTGGAAAATGCGTTCACCTTTTGGATGCTGAAGCTCATGTCAAATCCAATGGCCAAACCCTTACAAGTTTACCATAAATTGTTAAATCTATGGTGGAAAAATTACCTACAGGGAAATGCCATTTGACATAGAATTCCACTTACGTCAGCCAAGCTACTCTTAAAACCCATTCTAATCTTTCCATATGCTAACTAATATTCAGCAAGCTCTTATGAATAATTACGTCTGCAGAGTGCATTTTAATTACCATTAAAATAGATTGTGAGGCATGTGCTATATGAACAAGCAAAATCCCTCAAGTGGCCACTTCTCTTTTCTGCTGCAAAGAGGAGTGAGCACATACTTCCTTAGATTCTACAACTGTTAATATTTATCACGTATGATTTCATGGCTATAAGTTTATGATCTTTTCACAGTCTGAAGAAAAATACTGTAATCAACACTGCTGTAATTGTACGGTAAATACACTATATTACTTAAATAATGTTTTTTATATCTGTAAAGTAACTAGTTTTTCTCATCATTCTCAATAACTTGAAACAAATAAGAGGTGGCGCAAGATTTAAGGTAAACTGAATTGAATGATATACTTGAGCGGCACGGTGGTCAACTGGTAAGCACACAAATCCACACATTATCAGTCAAAGGTTTGGGCATATATGATAACACCAAAGCAGTTGCCAAGTTTCGTGATTGAGTTCAAAATGATTTTGTGTTGTTTGTTTTTAAGTCACAGTTTTGAGTTTGGTCATGTGACATTCACAAGGTGAGTCTTGATTGGTGGTTACCAGACCCCTGAGCAGATGTGATGTCCTTTTCAGTCGACAGCAAACTGGCAAAATGTGCTTTTCCATTCATCCGTTTTCTAATCCGCTTATACTCACGAGGGGCGCGGGCGTGCTGGAGGCTATCCCAGCTGTCTTAAAACAAGTTTTAACAGCTGAAAAGTCTCTGGAAGGAATATATCATGAAACAGAGACTATAACAGTAATTTATCTTATTGTGCAAGTAAATTAACTAATTTTAGGATTGACAAACTAAGACAAATAATTTTAAAACAATATTAATACTTTTACAAATTCTGCTCTTGCATAGTATATTATTCTCAAAACAAGAATAAAAAAAATTCTTTTTGGCTACCTATATGAGTGTAAGTATTTATCTTTAGTTGGATAGCTGATGTTTGCAGTGTGTTTCTCGTACCAGTTGGATATTCATGTCATGTAAAGGCACCCCGAATGTGAGAAATACCCCCAAGCACACAGTACAATGTAATGTGGCACGTATCTAAATGTTTGCTTAATACTATGTAAAATCATCATGGTTTGTTGGAACTAGAGTCGAGTAAGCGTGGTTACATGTGTATGCAATCCTGCCTTGCCCATGTATCGCGTGATAAATTATCCCAGGGTGTTTCTCCCACATGCCTTTGTTTTGACAATGTGTCTTACTGTGACAGACAATGAGTCAAGGGCAACGTATATCACCTGCCAGCCTCAAACACACTCCTCATGTTAAATACATTATCTGTGCATTAGCCTGTGAGGCTATGAACTGTCTAAATCAATCAGCAGTGAGGTTGGCTTAGATGCCAGGGAGCCTGCAGACGAGCAGTTGCGGTGTCATGCCGAAACGCTCCAATTCCCTCCTTCCTTGTGAAGGGAAATTAAGAAGGTAGTTAATCAAAAGTTCATTAGCATACAGCGCCGAGCTCAGTCCACCCCTACACCCTGCACATTATAGTCACTTAGGCTAACCTTGTGAGGGGAATAACAAATCCCAACCACTTTTCATTGTGAATTTGTTGGAAAGGGGAAAAAAAAAAAATACATTGGCCCCGATGGGCTAAATTACTTTTTTGACCTCAGGAAACCTTAGACCACCAAAACTTTTTTCCAAACCACTGCCCAAAGTTTGCAAAATCGCAATCATTGTTTCTACCTGCCTGCTGAGTAAAAAAAATAAATGTATTAAACACTCAAAACACAATTGTTATTGTAACTCTTTATGCATGGGTGTATTTTATAATCATTGTGACAGTGTGGGCCCACAATGGTTGGTTGGATTTGGGGTTACTAAAACAGTCAAAGTTGATTGTTTTGTAAAGGCAACATTATGCAGCTATTTTCATAGATGTTATTCAATTTATTTCCAAATGCAAATTCCAATTTATTCTATTGGGAATGGAAGGTCATAAACTGAATTGCATTATGTAAATGTTCATAATGAGGCGTGTTTAATATTCCTCAGGTCACCAGAGTAGCCAAAAAGTCTCCTCAAGTAAGAGTGCTATTACTTCCGAATGTAAAAAAGTCATCCTCCTAATAATTGTTTGAGATAGAGTAAATGAGTACTCAGTTAAAAAAAAAAGTACTCAAATACTGAGTAACTGGCAACTTTCTGATTTATCATGTTTTTAATCTGAGTCTGGATAGAAAATAGGAATGTGCAACCTTTAATATTTATTTTATTTTATTTTTCTTTTTAATGACAAAAGGCAGCACAGTGGTTGGCATATCTGCCTCACAGTGCAGATGTCATAGGATTGAATGCAGCCTTGGACTTCCTGTGTGGAATTTTCATGTTCTCCTCGTGCCAGTGTGGGTTTTCTCCGGGAACTCCGGTTTCCTCCCACATTCCAAAAACATGCATGGCAGGTTAATGGAACACTCTAAATTGTACATTGGTGTAATTTTGAGCGCAAATGTTTTGTTTGTCTATCTGTGTCCACCGATTGGCTGGCAACCAGTTCAGGGTGTCCCCCGCCTACTGCCCGAAGACAGCTGGTTTGGGCTCCAGCACGCCCGTGAGGATTGTGAGGATAAGCGGCTCAGATAATGGATGTAGATTCAAATTTAGCCACGTGAAATTCAAACTTGAATTAAGTTTTTAATGCACTATCTTTAATGACGATTGTTGATGGAGGGGCATCAAATGATATGAAGGGGCATCCAGTTGGGATTGATGGACAAACTTGGAAAGTCTTCCACTCCCTGAAACTCATTGAAATTAAATGAATGGCGAGCCACACATCACTGGCCTCCTTCCTCGCACAGCTCCCAAGAGCTGCATTATGTGCATGATAAAGAGACACTTTGTAACAGCCGAAGAACCAATACATACGCATGACTCAGTTATTCAGTCTCCTTAGAAATAATAATTGTGCTCGGCCAATCTCTCTCTCTTTCGGGAGACTCATTTGAGATATTGTCAGTGTTTAGTAGCATCTCTAACATTTCAAAAATGCTCACAAACGATGTTGATGGTCATGGAGAGATGTGTGGTCATCAGAGAACAGATTTTTAGATCAAAAACAGGCAAAGGCATGCTTCCGGTTAATGATGTGCGAATTTACGATATATATCTTTGTGCGATATAAAAACTTCCAACCTGTGATACAACCCTCTATTACTGAGGTCATTATTATTATTTAAATCATTGGCACCACCCTACCAACTCTCGAGGACTTGCACACCGCAAGAACCAAACAAGGGCATGGAAAATCATCCTGGACCCTGCCCACCCTGCCCACCACCTTTTCCAGCTACTCCCCTCAAGCAAGCGCTACCGAACCATGTGCACCAAGAGCAGCAGACATTCAAACTGCTTCTTCCCTCTCGCCATTAACTCCCTAAACAGTAACTCAAATCAATAGTGGTTCTTTGCATTTTTGCACACCCCTGTGGAACAGTATTACCGCAACGATCATTGTAGCTCCAGCTCTCTACATACTGTACTTGAACAATTGTCATTGATTAATATTCCACAGCATCAGACACTTTAAAGCACTGAAGAACTTCCTCTATAATTGAACACCTAAGCTTGTACCACAATTACTGCTACTGGTCACTTAAAAAACGGTGCAACGATTATCTGCACCAACTGCACAACCATTATAGTTTTGTATTGCACCACTGATCACTTTATCTCTGCTCGATGATGCTGCACATTGTCACACAGATGTCATTGGGTAGTACTACTGCACAATAGTAACCTTACATTACAGAAAGTCTTCCGGTACTTCATTCATCGCGTCTGAGCATCATGTCCTTGTTTATCGTAATTGCTTGTTATTGCAATACTTGAGAATTTTCTTTTTTAAATGTTTCGTGGAAAGCTCTAATCACATTCAAATTAACATTGATGGCAGAACCACGATTGGTTTCACCTTCAAAAGAGAAATATTTTCACATTTTGTCATCCAGCCACGGAATTACACTCGTCAATCAGTGTACTGATCGGTGCATGTGGCGCATATTTGAGTGTTGATGAATTTCAGCTGACTTGCCTAACAGTTTGATTGACGCACTGGCTCTCTCCACCCTCCTTCTCTCACCTCCCCTCTCTTACCTTCATCATTCACAACAGGCCGGCAGACCTGTCCACCAGAGAAGTTTGACTGCGGTGGGACGGCCACCAAGTGCGTCTCATTGTCGTGGCGATGTGATGGAGAAAGAGACTGTGAGAATGGAGCAGATGAAGAGCACTGTGCCGCAGGTGAGTTTACACAAATAAGCAACTGCAGTTGTCAAGTGAGCTATGACAATGATTGATCTATTCCTCTTTAGAGTTGCAATTGCACACACCCTCATTTTCCTAAAACACGTAATAATGATGATGATGATAAATGTTGTACCCTGAAATTTTCTTTGGCTGCTGGAAGTGCAAGCAGCCCAGGGAGTAAATTGTTAGCGAAGAGGAAGATGGTAATCCGTAGATATGGGCGATATGAACAAAAATGGTAAATGGTCACTTGTACAGCGTTTTCTACCTCGAGTATTCAAAGTGCTTCACACTGTTGCCTCATTCGCCTTCTGGTGACGTAGCACCAGGAGCAAGTCGGGGTTCAGTATCCCACTAAAGTTTGGGAAACAACCGCTCTACGACCAAAGTGCCACTTTGCCACCCTTAATGTATTTTCTGATCGCTCCATCTAGTGGATGCATCGTGCAACCGCAGCCAGGGCTCCATATAAATACGGCTGTATTTTATTGTATTTTATTCCCTTTAGCATAGCTCCCTCTAGTGGATGCTTTACACAACCGCAGCCTCTATTGTGGCTTACATTCTAAATGCCTTATATATGAAAACATATTATACTCTGTTGCGCCTTATAATGTAGAAAATACCACATATAATGTCCATAAATAAATAAATAAATGGATCCATAGTTAAAAAAAAAAAGACATACCGTTATATCGTGTATAATAGCCGTCGGTATTGGTCTGTTTGTTGTAACGCACAAATCTAGTAGTTCATATATTTTGTTCTGCTGATGAACTCTAATTTTTAAGTCAGTCGCATTATACACAGGAAGTACAGGTGTTGATGATATACTATTGCAAATAAAAATGTTGCAATGTCAATATCGAAACAGGGTGAGCTTTTAAGTCCTCGTTTTTTTGTTGAGGCACATTTGTTTTCTTTGCAACTGAGAAAAATGTGCATTCGTATAAACATGATAATAATGTCTATTACCTTTTTGATGCAATTTAATGTACTGTTTAGGCATTTTCATGATTTATTGAAATGTTATATACTTAAGTTATACGTTACAAATAGAGGCCAAATTACTTATCTTGACAAATATGTATACTTAAATGGAGGATTTTTTTTCTCCTCCTCTTCCATCACAGACACATGCCTATTTTACATCCCTTTTTTTTATTTTCCATTTCCTCTTATCTGTAGACACAAAGGGCCATGGGAGATCATATGATCATTTTATTGTCTCTCATCGACATGACCTGTGTGAACAGGAAAAAGTGGAACTCTAGAATAATTCATGAATGTCTCGCTGATGATTGATTTTCTTCCCTTGTTTTGAATGTGCCCAGGAGAGTGATTTCAAGTATTAAGCCAATATTAAAACCTGCGAGGATTATCGTTTCATCTATCATTAAAGGTAAAAGTGATGAAAGGCAGTTTGACATTTAGCTCAAAGCTCACACATAAATGTTCAGCAGCATAATTACGTATTTTGTGTTCAGTTTTTTTGTCATGCCAAAACGACTTTTGAAAAAGAACTTTTTTTATGGAGTTGAGCAAAACCTAGTGCAACCACAACGTATTAAAAATGCAGTCTTACAAAACAGACATCTTTGTTTAAAAAAAAAATCCTACAAAAAGTGCCCTTGGAACTTGCAGCTAAGCAGTATGTTTTCACTGTAAATTACCGTATTTTCCATGCTGTAAGGTGCTCCGGGGTGTAAGGCACACCTTCAAACATACAACAAGTGAATTTAATGGTGTGACTATAAAGATGTATTTTTTTATTTTTTATTTTTTTTAATTCTTGAGACGGACACATAGGGGCTTTTGGCACCACCCAGAGCTACGCACTTCATGTGATTACCCTATTTTCCGCACTATAAGTCACGTTGGAGTATAAGGCACACCTTCAATGAATGGCCTATTTTAAAATTGTTTTCATATACTGTATAGGGTGCACCGCATTTTAAGGCACATAGAATAAAAGCTAGAATAGTGGCTGCAGTTGCGTTATGCATCCACTACATGAAGCTACAATAAAGGGAATACACTACAATACATTACAGCTTTATTTATATCGAGCTTTCACAACTACTGCGGCTGGAACAAAGCGCTTTACAGAACATTAAAAATACTAGGTCCAAGAAATCAGGATGTAGATTAGGGTGGTCCACATTTTCATGGCAAAAAAAAAAGTTTGTCGGATTCGTCGGGCCGGGTCGGAATTCTTGTCGATACTATGGTACAAGGTTCTGTGCATTCCGATCTGATGATATTTTCCCGTCCCGCAAAGCGGCCAAAGTTTCCACCATAACAACTGGTCTCAATAGGGTGAACATGTGTATTTTAACCGTGTATTTTGCCATGCGTGACACTGGCTGGGCTGAATGTTGCCCGAACGATCACCTCCTGACTAACTAACCATTCCATCGCTGCTCTCAGCAGCCGGAGACAAACTCAAACGCACGCCTAACACACAACGGTCACCTACTGGCGAGCTAATATCTTTCAATTGAAGTCGAGAATCGCCGGAATTCTTACTGGACGCTGAGCTGAGGAC